GTTATTTGAATATTATAGGTATGTAAACTCACCAAAATATTCTAAAAGAGTCCAGTAGCCCATAATAGTATTGGGTCTTCCACTTAACTGGCCATAAGACTATGGATTATTGATCAAGTTTTTTTTTTTTTGGAACAGGGCATTGAACTCAGGCCCTTGTACTTGCTAGGCAAGCGCTTATTCTACTGAGCCATCTCCCTGGCCCCTCGATCAATGTTAATGTCCTCCATGTACACTTGCTATGAGACCTGCTTCCCACTGGATCAATATTACCTAAAGAGTTATATTGTTGATTGATCATAGTTTTGTTTTTATTGTTTTTGAGACAGGGTCTTGCCAAATAGTTCAGGTTGGACTTGAGTTCACTGTGCAGTCTAGGGTTGTCTCAAACTCACAGTCATCCTCCTACTTCGGCCTCCTGAGTGCTGGAGTTACAGGCCTGCACCACCTCTCCTGGCTTGATCATAGTTTTGACCCATGTTGTACCTACATTGTGATCTTGCTCTATAAATCTTCCTCTGAGAAGTGGGCTCGTTGACAACCCATTTGGAATGCCTCTTGACTCTCAGCAGCTATTCCTCTTCCCCATTCCTTTTCCTCAATATATTGTCCTACTCTTAACCTCTGTTCCTTAGATTTCTTTCTTTGGGGAACACAAATATGGTATGTTGCTCATCTAGCAGGTTGGGAGTTACAACCTACTAGATGTAGGTTGTTGTAGGTGATATATTTCTCTTATATCATTTGGCGGTCCTATGTCACCGCCACCAAAAAAAGTAGACATTTTTCTTTATTGATGATTCTTACACTGCTTAAGGTACATTAGCTTTCCTTCTAAATCTGTGGAGATTAAATTTACAGATTAAACCCAGGTCTTGTGCCTGCTAGATGAGTACTCCAGCACTGAGCTTTACCCCTAGTTACTATTTTGAAAAGACATTCATATACAGTCTTGTCAAGCTGCCCAGCTGGCCTTGAACTCACAATCCTTCTGCTTCATTTTCTCTTGTAGCTGGGATTACAGGCATGAGACCCTGCATGTAGTTTACTTACTCTCTCTAGGTATATTACAAGCATACTATGGCAGAGTTTCCTCATCCCTGAAACAGGAACAAGAATCCTTGGCGTACATAGCTTAGCAGGTTCTCAGGGAGTTTTAATGAAATAATGAAAACTATAGGATGCTTTTCAAGCTTAAGGTCTGTTGTATTGCTACAATTTGAAAAAAAATCCTGGTGGTCTTTGTGTGTGTTAGATTTCATCTTGGTAATCAAGGAGCTTTCTTGGAAATTCCTT